TATATATATATATATATATATACATATATACGGACAATTAAGAAATAAAATGCAAAGGATTGCGAATTTGTTCTCCCCCGTTTATTCGTCGACCGTTCTCTTCGTTTGTCTCGCCTTCGAATTCATCGCTTTTTACATTTTATAACACTCGAAACACGAATGCATTAATATACAATCCTATTTGAATTTACTCAGAATACCGAATTTATTCTCGTATATATAAGCGAAACATTCCGAATATTCGTGCCGAATTTGACTTTCTGATTACATACGTTCAGTTTCCACTTCATACGCTTTGCTGGTGCGATTTAATCAAAAAATTCGTCGAACGAATCTACATATAATAGAAATTATTAATATGTTTTTTTGCAATCGCCGCTTTTTATACATCGAGATAACGAATTACACGTCGTATACATTTTCGGAGCTTCTTACAGCGTGTGTAATTATTATGAGTTTTCCCGACTCGCTCCATCGTTTCCACGCGACTCACTTTCGCAAGACGCCTTTCTTCGTGTATTTGCTGCACTTCCTCTTGAACTGCTTGGCCGGTTTCTCACTTTGCCCACTGTCTTGCGGCCTGGACGCTTTGGCGCTCTTAGTCTCGAGTTCGCTCATCGATTTTCTCGCCTTGCCGTTGACCAGGAGCCGAGCGGACTTCTTGGACGTCCTGCTCTTGCTCTTGATCCTCTTCTTCCTCGTCTTCTTCCGCTTCTTCTTGCGGTCCATGTTCGCGATTATGGCCTCGGTGTCGGCGGACACTTTGATCTTCGGCTGCTGACTGGTGATCGTCACCCTCACAAAGGAGTCGTAAAGAACGTCCCCGCAGAATTCGCCGAAGCAGTATTCCTCGCCGCATTCCCGGCAGGTCTTCACGCTGCTCTCGATTATGCCGGCGCGATTCTTGCTCCGTCTGATGGGGCTCGTCGGCGAACGTCGCTCCTTCGCCCTCGTCTTCGCCTCCAATTTGCCCATCTCTACCTTGAAGCCACGGGAAAGGATCAAGGATTCGCATTGCGGCCGTACATTTGACACACCAATTGATATCATCGAAATTCACATTCTTTCTGCATTTACATCACAAACAGTTACAGAATTATAAATAATGGCATAAATTGGCATGATTTTTCCTCGCTCCTGACGAGTCATCAAAGAAGCACAGCCAAAGCGAGTGTCCAGGAGCCTTAATTACGAAATTAGGAAATTAGAGTCACGTTTAATGCTAAAAACTTGGTGAGATCTTAGAAAAAGAACGGATAGCGGATAATCGCGAGTTAATTACCAATCTCGAGAACATTTCCTCGTCCTGACGAAGCTTCGGTCTGATCGGCGTCAACATTCGCCAGTCGATGGCGACCTGCTGCAATTCCTGCAGGTCCAACTCCCTCATGTCCGGCGGCACCGGGTCGCCGTACGCCCATTCCCTGGCTTTGAGCTCCTTCTTGGTGGCCCTCCAAGAGAACTCCTTGTCTCGAACCTTCGTGTCCTCTCTTTTCACCTTCGCATAACATTCCCCAATTATCACGTCACTTGCATCCCAATTACAATCCTGTGTTATCGTTAGAGTGCTCGAACCTTTTCCGGTTTGATCTTGAACTCGGGGCAGTGTTCCTTGAGTCGGCGGTACTCCTCGTGAGAGTTACACGTCGCCTTGCTCAAGTCGGGTATCAGGTTCCCGTCTTTCTTGTCGTCCTTCAGCAGATCGTCCAGATGAAAGGCCATTATCTAGATCTGCAACGCGAGAGAGAAAAAGACGTTTGAGTTCTTCAACGGGATTCCCTCGCGATCCTCGTGGAACGAGCGAACGTTGTTTCACGGTAAAAAGCCCCCAGATCGCACATTCTACTCGATCTCACTTTCCATGCAAACGAAAAGAAAAACAAAAGGACGCTCCAACGGCGCGCAGAGTTTTTTATTCTTCCGGCGCTCAAAAGATCTCGGACGCAGCGGGTGAGACCAGACATCGCTCGGAGTCCCACTCGATCTGCTTCATTAGCAGGCCCTGAAAAAAGACGAGCGTATCTTGAGGAATGCAGAAAGAAACGCTGCCGAATGTTGATTAATTCATCATAAAACTTGGTCTCGAGAAACTCCGAGAAATATAAAATTCCGTTCTTTACTTCAAAGCGTCAATGTGGTTATTTGCATATATAGAAAAATACTGCAAATATTTTCAAGTAAATGACGAACTTTTCTCAAATTTGCGATGAATATATTTTAAGATATTTCATGTGTCAAGAAAATCTGTTGAAGATAACTATTATTTCAAAGTAGGAAAGTAAATAAACTGAGCGATCGCTTTCTTTTCTAGCAATATTTTTCGCTTTCGTATTTATACTTTTTTTTATTTTTCTTTCAATATAGGGAAGCGATTAGGATTTTTTCACTTACGCTCTTCAAGGACGACAGCTTGGATAAGATCTCATGCCCGCACCAGACATTGGGATTATCGCTATCCGACCGTTTCGCGCGGTTTGCTTCACCGTGATGGTTCATCGGTCGCGCTTTCTCGGCACGATCGTGCCGGCGACAGTCCTCGATGTTGATCTTCCCATTTTTGTCGATCCGCAGTGGCACCACAGAGTTCAGACTGTCCATCGACAGGTCGGCGTCGTAGTTCTCGAGTTTCGCCTTGCGTCTCATCGCGTTTCGGCTCTTGGACTTGCAGTTGGTCGATTTCCGCCGATCCGGGGACGGCGACCTGCTCGTGATGAAGACTTTCTTAATATCATTTTATAATTATTAGGTGCTCGCAAAAGTTCGTCGGACTTGAAGCGGGATCTACAATGAGAATTTAAGCTCTAAGCCTTAAGAAATTGACTACAATCACAGTCGAACGCGGGGAGAATAGTCGATTGCGATTGGTCAATTTCTCAAGGCTTAGAGGTTTAAATTCTCATTGTAGACCTCGCTCAAGTCTCTAACAATTCCGTGCGTCTCACTGTACCTCCCTCACCTGGATCCTTCGTCGCTGGACTCGACTCGTCGTCTTCCGAGCCTCAGTCGTCTCTGGTAGTGCGGGTCCTTCTCGCTTTGCGTGCGATATCGCGTACCTGGGCTAAAAATGCACCTTCATATCATTTTCATATTCGCGTCACCCTGGTCATTTCAAGAATAATTCAAGTATATCAGTCTCTTCCTGGCATTACCGATTGGCGTTCCATCGTGGTCTGGCGTCGAGTGAGGTTCTCGGCTGCGACTTGGATCGTGGAAGCGCTTTCATGTTGACCTCCTCACCCGGGCCCACGTTGGTCGACCTTCGAACGATCACAACATGACTCTGTAATCTGTCTGTCTCTCTCTCTCTCTCTCTCGACGAGAACAGAATACTTCTAAGCTCGTAACTTTGTAACATTGCACCAGGCGAGAGACATTGTAAGAAATGATCCAACGGTGAAAGTAAATCATAAGAAATTCCAGAGCAAGGCAGGCAACTTAAAGCGGCAAAATCGCACGAACGGAATTCGAACGAGAGGACTCGAATATCCTCCGAAAGGAGATCGTGAATGAAAAGCGAACGAAGCTGACGAGAGCACTCCATTCTCCGTCGAAACACAATCGAGAACACTCGCGCACACTTACTGGACGGTTGCGTCGTGACGCGCGGATCGGACATTTCGCGAGAAAGCGTCTTTACTCAGTCTCTTATCGTCAAACTACGCTATAAAATAAAAGGGGATAATTACCAGGCAGGTACCGCATGCAGGAGTGAGAACACGCTCGTCGCACGGCCTCTCTAAAAGAAGCCAATTGGGGAACGCGACAGGGATCTCCGCGCGCGACTCACTTTTCAACGTTTCTTCGGCTGGCGTTGGTCGTGTCCTTCCTCTCCTTCGTGTTGCCGCCGTGCTCCTGGATCGACGACTCCTGCAGCTTGTCGCGCAGCTCCTGCAGGTCGGGCTCCACGTCGGTCTGCGTGCCGAAGTCCCGTCCGGACGACGTCCGGTACTTGCTCGGCGTCAACAGCCGATTCTCCACGACGAACGACGCGGGGTCCGATCGGGAGGAGCAGCGTCTCGGGCTCGGCATCGTCGTCGTCGCGTTGTTCTTCATGATCGCGCTCAGCCCCAGCGAGAGGCCCTTCGCGGCGTTGTCGAACCGGTGCGGGCTCGGCGTCATCACCAGGTTCACCAGCTGCAGGTTCGCCCTGCTCAGGAGCTCCGCGTCGTCGAGCCTGCCGCTCAGCACGATCGCCACGTCCTTGCTCACGGGGACCTGGAGGGACGCCCGCCGGTCCAGCCCGACCTCCTCCGGCTTGTCGTTCCTCTCACTCTCGCGATAGTGATTCTCGCTCTCCTTCGTGTCCTTCGGGCTGCCGGACTCCTCGACGTATTCGGCGATCGCGATTCGCGTCTGCGAGCGGTGATCCTGTTTGTCGTCGTTCACGGTCGCGTGCGAGCTGACCGAGGACGACGTCTGCGTCGCGTCGGTGTCCTCGTCGGCCTGCTCTTCTCGCTTCCGGCGACTCCTCTTCTCCTCCTGGGCCAATCGTTCCGCGGTCTCCAGCACCTCGCGCATCGCCTGAGCCTTCTTCAGCTTCGCGGCTTCCTTCTCGCGCACCCGTCGTTGTTCTTCCTCGAATCTGCGGAGGGAACGGACTTTTTTAGAACTCACCTTTTCGAAGATTTTGTTAAAGAAAAAATAACTCGTACCTCTCTTTCTCCCTCTCCCGTTCTCGCTTGATCCGTTCGTCCTCCAATCTCTCCTCTCTCATTCGACGCTCCTTCTCCTCCTTCCTCTGTCTGTCCTTCTCCTCGAGCTGCTGCTTGATCGCGTTCTGCAGCTCCAGCGCTTTCTGCCGCCTCGCCTCGCGTTCCTGCAGGATGTCCGCGTCCACCGGGATATTCTGGCCCCGAAGATACGTCTTGTTGTTGTCGGAGCCGGTCGAGCCGGTCGTTGAACTGTCCGGGCTACTGGCGCTGTCGTGATTGATCACCAGAACCTCGGCAAAGAACGATTTAAATTATTCCGCGCTAATAATGCGCCTCGTGTTTCAAATTCTCCCCCGTGATCGTTTCGTCATTTCCAAGGCAGGAGTCACACGCGAGATTTCTAAATCGAAGTTTCTAATGCCGAATTCAACATTGCCGGCGGAGATTCGAAGGAGACCGAAGGAACTGTAAGAGACGGACGGAGTGTTTCTCTAGGATAGGATTTCGAAGATGTTCAACAAGTTCGTGGAAGTCATTACTTGGCTCGACTGTCCTAATCTCGACAGCCACGAGGGTGGCGGCGGCGGATCGCCTCTCGCCGCGTCTTGGCCCCAGACGCTGCCCCACCGCGGCCTGTTGAGCTCCCCCATCCTGCCGGGCGAGAGCCTCCTCGATGGCGGCAGTGAACTCTCCGGCGTGGTGCAATAAGGATTCTGCCACGTCTTCTCCGTCATCTCCATCCTGGCCGTCTTGCCACCGACTAACGTTCCTGGAACCGTGCGAACGCGAGTTGAAGCGCGAGAACTTCGTCATCGTCCCGAGACGAGATTTCACAATTGAAGGATCTACAGGACCTGCCATCTCAAGTTAATTCAAGAGGAGAACTCACCGTGTCCCTGCGAGGGTGCATCCACGGAGTCGCTCGCGTAACCGGAGGTTTCCCCTTCGGTTACCGGCGAGCCGTAATGATCAAGGGACTCCTTCTGGTTGCCGCGACGGTCGTTGGTTCGGTGCCGATGGTGCTCCTGTTTCTGCGGCCTCGCTTGCTGATAACGCGACCCCTCCACCCCGAAATCTCGCTGTTGTTCCTACGGGACGATAACGATAAGGTGCCTTCTCGCGTGATCGAACGCGAGTTCCGGCCTTCGTGGCCCGCCGTATTACATGTCGTCCCTCCCCCTCCGCCCGACGAAACGATGACGGAATATTAGCGTAGGGGGACGCCGCGCCACTCTGCATAAATCATGCACGATCTGATTTTTCTATTCTTACATGCTTACGTAACGACCGCCGTCTCGAGATACTCCTCGACGTAGTTCGCGCGGCACATTTTCCTCCCCTCGCCGTTAAATCAATCGGGCACACGTGAGCCGTTGATTATTCGCGTATTTAGGTATTTAGCACAAGCAAGCTTCCGTTCTAGCGATTCTAATCTTTCGGTAACTCGCTTCTACTTTGCTCAGCTTAACTCTGATCTTTCCGAATTTATTCCGAGAGAAAGAGAGAATTTTGTCCGCAAGTCCCATAATTGCCTGCAATAAATCGCAAGGACAAATTGCAATCTTACGTAATCGATCGATACGTTTTGGAGCATCTGAGAAGTCCAGCTGAATTCTATCGTCTCCTGAGCCTTCTGAATATTTTAGAGACGCTCGTTGGAACGCTGGGGCGAACTGTGCGAAGGTAGAAAGCTACTTGGCGCGTGCAAAAGGCAGTTTTTAACGGCTAACGATTCTCCTCGATAAAATCAAGCTGTTGCGATTTGTGGCACAGCGTGCGTCACATCGCTAAGAGGGGTGAAACTTAGCGTTACCCTCGCTCGTCCGCTCGCATCCAAGTTTGAAAGCAAGGCATATACAGCCTTGGGGGACGTTGAACTCTAATTGCACGATAAGAATCGATTCGCCGGAGTGACTTACTTTTGCTTTCCCCGCGCCGAAGGGGAATGAACTGTCGAGTGTCGCGCTCGCCACTTGTGAATTTGTTGATTAGATACGATCGTTAGTTCAGCGGACTTACCTGCGGCCGCGGGATTCGCGCTTTGTCTCCTGCTCGCGCGTATCTTCGCCCTCGTCCGAAAATATTCAAGAAAAATACCTATATATTCGGGATGATATTAAGATGAATAATATCGGAAGGAATAATTGAGACGAAGAGTCGATTGTTTCGCTGGTATCTCGACGGACGAAAATCGAGGAGCCTCGTCGACGAAGATCCTCGACGAAACGTCAGTCTGCGCCAGCGCCAGTGTAATTGCTTGATTACTTCGGCTGCACGACTGTCGTCGTTGTTACGTTGACGTTACACGCGACTAATGAAGCTTATGCGATCAATTATTCAGCGATAACACGCGCGAATGTTCCACCGCGAGTTTTCATTGGCGAGGAAACAATCTTATATTAACGGCATGATCGATCCTCGATAGGAAATTCACGACGTGTACGGAGAATTGATGAGGCCCGATACGCTATCGGAATTCATATCGTATTGTATGAAAATTTAACGACGAGAGATGAGAGCGAGATAGAGGTCTCGGGTTTTGGCGAATCAGAATGTAATTTGGGACGCGACCCGCTTTCAGTATCTCAACTATTTGGGACAGTTTACGTTAACATGATTACGTTACCCAAATGTCATCCAAATGTCTCGATTCTCACTCAAATTTCTCTGAAAATTTTTCATCCTATTTTTGTTGTTCTCTCGCGAAATATTGTCATAAATTCGTCACTTTTCTCAGTACGATGATACGCACGGAGAAAATATTGCAGCAAAAATTATCACGAAGTTTTGTTGTAATCTTTACTACAACATTTTTTTCGTGTATATGACGAATATGATAATATATGTTATCGATGTGACGATTTATACAGAGCGGCCCGAAAGTCGGTCACTGATTTGACATATTCATTTTACTTTTTTTGCAAGTAATATGCGTTAAAAATTTGTTTATAAGTTGTATTAAAGTCCTCGAAAATTTGGAGTGGTAACCGACATTACTATGATAATATTATGATAATATAAGTTATCCATATAATAACTGTAATAATATGATAATTTGTTTGTTGTTCGGTATTCATTATTTTTTACAAATTTGTATCAACTTAAGGACATACCAGCTGGCAAAAGTACTGCTGTTGCTCCTTGTTGAAGATCGGCGGCAGACTTGGGCTTCTGCGTCTGATTTGTGACACGTCCACCTGGTCCCGGAGATTAATCAGACTGCCGCCATTGAAGTCGAGGCACTTGAGATTCACGTTGCAGTTTCCGGAGCTCTCGGTTGTCAGGCTCTTGAGGCTGACGGTGCTCCCGTAATGTCCGGTCGCGCGGAATGGTTGCACGGAAGTCTTGTTCTTCGTCTCCCCAGGCGATAATCTCACGTCGTTCGAGTAAGTGCTGTATCGTGGAATTTTTGTCGCGTCATCAAATGACTCACGTATTAACAAGTCGAATGTGGCCCGTCTAACACATTGGAATAATTGAAAAATCGACCGTCGCGCGATATGCGGCGATAACGACCTGCGTTAGCATCCTGGCGAACTCACCGAATGTGGGTGCGGTTGCAGTTGCTCGGCTTCAGAGCTTCCCAATTAACTCCGAGACGCGCCATTTCTTCTGTGTAAACGACAAAAGAAGCTTCTGAGACATTGTTCTAATTGAAGTAAATATTTCCTCCATTTAACATTTCTTCGACGTGTCAATTTTGTGCTCATTTTCGTCTTGAGTATTTCTTTATATCAAACAAAATCTCGTTTACGTTGATCAACTGTTCGCAGAAAAAAATTAGTCTTGAATCAAGAACAGATATTCTCATATATAAGCAAGAATATTATAATCTTCTTATGAGATGTTCAGTTTTGATTCGATTGAATTTGTATCGATGCAAATGCAATTTGAATTTAATTCAAAGCTGAAAATCTTCTAAGAAAGTTATAATATTCTTGCTCATACATGAAAATATCTATTCTCGATTTAAGACTGATTTCTTTCCTACGTTCGTGTTCGATGATATTTCTCATTGGGTTACAAATCTAAGTAACTTTTAGTGTGTTCTTCCTTCAAATTATCGATTGCGCCAACGCCAACTCACCCCTTTCCCTTGCCCACTGGATCCTCTTCTGCTCCACCAGCGACGTCCTTCCGGTCATCCTCGCGCGCGAAGGTGTGCAAAGAATACGCGCGACAGCGAGAGTGTTTTTGATTTTCGACGGGCGATCGAAAGAGAGAGAGAGAGAGAGAGAGAGAGAGAGAGAGGCGAGAGAGAATCCTAAACTAAGCCCCCTTACCCTCTACAGCTCTATTCTGCCTACCTATTCGGGCATCAGCAGTCGTCGGCGGGAATCCCCGTCAGTCACGCTCCACCGTGCGGCACCGAACGCTTGACCTTCGTTCATCAAAAGCGTCCCTACAAAATCCGCGCATTTCCGACCCCGACGTTATTTCTTATCTCCTTCCCTCCGACTTTAGCGCAAGATCATCTTGAAATATCTGCCAAATATTTTACCGCGTCACTTTAGGTTAATGAATTTCATCACCAAACTCCCGAGTCTCTAATTTAATCGGCGCTTCGGGGAATAATTAATCAACCCATTTTCTCGGCGACCTTCTCGCCCGCAACGAGAATTTCGCACTCTTCGCCGCCCCTATGGACGCGCCTGTATGTATCACGGCCTACTTCCCCATTCATCACCGACACCGAGTTCTTCCGAGAACCGTCTACCCCTCGATTAATCCCCCGGAATCATCCCTCGACGACGATGACGGCGACCCGATTCTTCCGTTCGTCAGCCGACCCCCTCCTACGCCGAGTCTCTCATCGTTCGGACTTTACGAAACCGGGATTACAATCGGAATTACTTTACTTCCACAGGATAAGCCGTTGCGAGCGCCGCGTTCGCTTCCGGAACTTCGTGTTCCGACTTCGCGTTCGCCGGGGACTTTCTCGCGGTGGTACGCTCGTCGTGTCAATATTTGCGAGACTGCGAGGTGGCCGCCGCCGCGAGGCCGTGCCCCGGGTTCACCTGGCACGACGTGCGGGACATACGCCTGTATTACGGCGAAGGAGAGGCCCCGTGTCGCGATTCGATCGCGGCGAGCGCGCGTTTCCATAGGAACAATCGGACGGCGAGTTGCGCTGCCTTGCACCGTCCTCAGGGTCGATAATATTGACCGTAACGATAAGGGATAATGACCTCCACTTTCGCGGTCAGAGATCGCATTCCCTTCGGCGGCGCCGGCGGTCTTCCGTTATCACTTGAAAACGAAGCTCCCGCACGGAGAGAAAAAAGATTCTTTAGATTTAGTATTTCTGTTTATTTGACTGAAATTTGCTTCATTGGACAACATGTACGAAATATTTATTTGTTTGAGTAAAAATTTTATTATCTCATTCGGGAAAGCTCTATTATTTAAGGGAAAGAATGCTATGATTTGGAATAATGTCTTTTAACGGAGTAAAATATTATTTATCACAATAAGTATGTAAGATGAAACAAGTAATTTCTTTATGAGAAAATTGTCTTTCGTTTCAAATGTTTTATTTAAGATAAAGACCGGGTAAGCAGGAAACGTGAAATCAATCTTTTAAAACATTGATTTCATGTGGTTTTTATAAACATTTTGGCACAATATTATTATAATAATGTTGTAAATGTTTTTAAAGTGTTACTTGACAATATATTTGTAAATATTAAAATTATGATGTGGAAACATTATTTTTAATGTTTCGGTCAAATATCGTCAACCGTAACGTTGTATACAACATTAAAAATTACATATTTGAAAACGTTACATGTTGTAAAATGTCACTGTAATAACGTTAACGATTTCTTGCTTACCTGAGTTCTCTCTTTGAAACGAATCTGTCGCGTTTTTAATATGTAATTTTTTATGGAAGAATTCCATTGGAGGATGTATATTGTGTGAGATTGGAAATCAGGTGATCGCCATTTTTCATTTAACTTGATGTAACCTTGGAAGGGAAACGAAAATAAAGTTATGAATTTAATGCGCCTGAAAAGTAGATACTTCAAGCTTTAAAATATCTCTCGAACTACTTTATTATCGTTATTTTGGCCGAAATTACCTGTTAAATTTTGTCTTTTTTTTTTCCTAAAATATGGGTGTGTATCTGACTTGTGTCGAGTCGTATTACTTCAGTTGCTCGTACAGTGCTCAATATAGTGGCGGCTCGTAGCGGAGACTTTGGAACTAAATATCGACGTCGCAAGACTAGCCAAGATTCGAACCACACTTAGCCGAGACTCCAACCTTTTGCGAACGAGTTTCTCCACGACACCGTTAGATGGCGCGGAGATATGCGTTAACCTTACAACGCTTTTAGGTGTGTTCTGAAATCCTATTTGACTAGGTAGAAGTAGGGTTTATTAAACCAATCATGGTGAAGAAATTTTCGCTCTTTCTATTTCGATTGGTCAATTAAATGCTACCCGTCGAGTACGGATTTCTGAACGCACCCTCTCAAGCTTTTCCTATTCTACTCCGCATTTCATAGATTTAGTCTTCTTGGTATTAGAGTGATAAGTTGAGAGGAAGCTTTGTATGCGCAATTTGAAACGTTCGAGAGCAAAGGTCCGCGAAAAGTGCGAGATCGGTTCAGTGACGGTTAGGTCGAAACTGTTGGAACGAATAATCAGTGGCTCGCGGCAAAGTGTGTTCCTTAGATTTGTAATAACATAAAATATGCAGCGAAAATTTTATACGTCTTGCATAAAAGTTAACGGGATACCTCTCCTGCCACCATTAGTAAATATTCGTTAATTAAGCGACATCTCCGCTGGCGATTATTTTATTATACTGATGTTATATTATTTTCAGATGACCGACGGTATCAAGGAAGAGATGAAACGCTACAGGTCTTTGGCTGTCAAAGTGGAGGAAAAGTTGAAGACCGAACGGTCCGTGAAGTGCACCATTAAGAATAAATGTGTGCAAGCCAACATAGCGGAGCCGACGAATCGATCAAAGAACGTAACCAAATATAGTTCAGATAGCGATTTCTCCAATTACAACACTACGAGTGACACCAATAACAGTGATTCACTTTCCAAAGTTACTATCGTCGAGCATGCACCGGCGATGCAAGTCACAAGCGGCGAAGCCAGAGACAAGCTAGATGTGCAGTCTGACAGAGGAGATATCCAATCTCCCGTGTCAGATACACAGGATTCGCAGTCCCAGGTTTCCTCGACGAACGACATTTTCCAAGACTCGGAACCCACAAAGACTGATCGGACGGGAAGCACCGACACAACAGTGGGAGCGTCGACGCCCAACGAAGAAGCAACGTCGCCTGAAAGTTGGAAACCCGAAGTACCCAAGACACTGGATATAGTTCCGATAACGTTAAGCGATCTCAAGTGCGAGAGGGACAGCGTCGAGCCTCTCGCAGTGCCGAGCAAGGAAAGTGAGCACCCACCTAAATTGTCGCGCCAAGGCTCTTATGTTCTGGACACACCCAGCCCTATGTTACTCGCCCATATGCACACAGAATTGAACTACGTTCCTACACCCACCACCGTTGATCTGCCGCAGCGGAAGCAGTGGAATATCGCGCAGTCCAAGGTGGAGTGGGAGAGCGGGCAGTTTCCAGCGGAGGACACTGAAACGCCTAAGGAGCTGGGAGCGACTTCGCAGCGTGCAGAGCCGCCGGCCGCGGATTCATATCAAACGAACAAATCTGCCGACGGTACCGAGGAATCGGTTGAGGAACGCAGACCCGATATCACATCGAATGAACATAATCATACGCCTAGTATCGATGCGAAGGAGACAAGCGCGCCGGAGAGATCAAAGGGGAACGACAACATCTGCGTGTTGGACCTAGTGAACAAATTGCAAGAGGCGGCAGCGATCGGGAACAGTCCCGAGACGCGATCGGCGGACACGGACAGAACGAGGGAGCACCCGGTGGTCAGGTCGAAATCAAGCATCACGTCCGAAAAGCTGCTGACGGTTTACCGGGAGATCGAGGAGCTGCACAGGAAGCAGATGATGGAGCTGATAGACCGTCAACGGAAGGAGCAGTCGCTGCTGCAGGCGGAGTTTCAGAAGCAACAGATGCTCCTGCTCGCGGAAATACACAAGTGCACCGTCTATCAAGCACCGAGCGTTATGTCGAGGAGCGCTTGCGAATTGAGACGATCGGACGTGAGCTCCCCCAGGAGAAGCGTGCACGCGGACCTTCAGCAGCAACGTGCCAACGGCGAACCGTCGTCGGATGCCCGCGTCGTCGTGTGCCCTCTCAGCTACGTCTCACCGAAGAACCCGTACATGCCTAAGCACCATCGCAAGTCTCCGCTTTACATCACCGACGCGTCTTCCGCGGCCCTCAACCTGGACCTCGCGAGGCGAATGAACCTACGCGACGCCGTACACAACGACACCATCAATAGTAGTAATAATAATTATAATAATAATAACAATAATATTAATAACGAGGACGACAACAATCGTGGCGCGTACAAGAACCCGACTGTGAACCGGCAGTTGTTCCCCCTGGACAGTAACACCACGCACGTACCGGTGCTGGACACCTCGGTGTATCACGAGAAACACGTGAGTAGGTCGCACGGGGAGGGGGGGGGGGACCATTTCGCCGGCACAGCAAATTGTTAGTTACCACCCTGATGGAAATATCATGCTGAAAATTTTACCGAAATTCAAACTCACAAAAAAAAGACAGATGTGCGGACGTTGCATAAGCATTTCACAGTGTGACGAATCCACAGGTAGAAAGAGAGGCTGCAAATCCGCACGAATTTTCTCCGGCACCTGATAATTTGGCCGGCTAAACTTGATGCAAGAAATCTTCTTGTCCGTCATAGTGACTAACGATTCGTTGCGCCGGTGAAATTCTTTCTCCCCTGGCACAATTGTAACCGGCGAGCGGCCGGCGTCAACAAAAGCGCTTGAATCACGGTGTGTTGCGTCGCAGGTGCGAGCGATGAATATTATCAATGCGTACGCGAGGGGCTACCTGACGCGTAGATTAATGCGGACCGAGCGCGTAATCACGTTGAAAAAGATATACAAAGAGGCGTTGCATTGTATGCTCAAGTTGCACGTGGACGCGCCTCTGAACCTGGCGGAAGTGAACTTCCTTCATCGTCTGCAGTTGCAGGTAACCGCCTCCCCCGCTTTCGTCCCCGACGAAGTCGCACGTTAGTTCCCCCTTCCCCTTCATTTCACCGCACAATAATTCCGGTGTAACCCAAACGATTAATCTCAGTTACCGGCTTCGCGTTACTTTCGACGTATCGATTTCAATAACTCGGAATTCTTGCCGTCAGTGCGACGCAGCGTCCCTGAATTTGGTGGAGCTGTTCGCCCAGCCTCCCGCGAAAAGGATGAAAGTGATAGAGCAGGATCGCGAGATCAAGCAGTCTCGGACGGAACGGCCGACCTCGGCACGCTCGTACTCATTCGCCACTCAAAAGACTCTGGCCAGGAAGAACCTCAAGGAATTCGAATCCACGTAATATCGTAATTTCCCTTCTCATTGCTACTTGTCGTTCTCCATTATCACCTCTCGTCATATATATTTCAACCGTCGACTTTCATCAGGATGACCAAGTACCAGCGGCCGTTGGTCGTCACGAGAAACACCATCCGGTCCAGGTGTCAGACTTGGACGTCGGACATAAGAGAAAGGCTCGTGTCGCCGAACACTTTGAGTAAGTAGTCGTTCACTACGTAGGGCACGCGGTTGACTCACGTCACTCTTTTCATCTCGTCATGAATGCTCGACCGTTTCGATTGCAGATCAAAGCATCAGGAGGAGCACCAGCACCGGGACCGTTCGGAAGCCGTGGCGATGATGACCCACAAGTGAGGGAGAAGAAGAGAGGAAGATAGAGAGAGTGCCTTAACGACATTGATCAAATGACACACCAATTTTACCGCTAGAACGCGGGGAGGGGGGGGGGTTCCACGCGCCTCGTAGCTCTCGAGCCGTGATAATCGTATTACCCGGAGCGCTTTTAGCCTGTTTGTCTGCCTTAAAAAGCGAGCGGTGCGCCGGTGCATGATCTTCCGACGAATATATTTACAATATATTTTTATTATTACCGTCGATCGAGTTTCTATTTCTTGACTGATGTAATACTCATCTGTGATACGTGTGTGTGTGCGTGCGTACGTCTCCAAATGCGTCGCGCTTCCCACTTCATATTTATTGAGGCTGAAATATCGAGGATTTTTTTTATCGTATCTTATGTGAGGATGAAGCGCGTGTATACACGCGCGGATTGTATACGGCCGGGGATACGTTGATATTTGACCGTTGCAACGTTGATTGTAAACCTGTAATAAAGATCGCTTTTCCTTTTTTTTTATGCTGAGTTCCTGCGTGCGGCGGAAAGATATCGCGTGATATTGCATAGAAACCCACTCCTCAAATCGCGGAGGTGTATGACCAGCCGCTCCTTTGTTGAACATTTAACAGCTCAATTAGCCTGTACACATTATATGCCTTTGTTTGTGTATATATATATATATATATATGTATGTATGTATATATATATATATGTGTGTATGTGTGTGTGTACAGTCGGATTATTTTGCTTGATTATATCGCGAGTGCTTTCCATTTAGCGACACGGGTCGACACGCGCATCATTTTATCCTTGCTCCATATTTGACGACTAATAAAGATAGGACGACGCTTGCGTCAAATTGTGTCACCAAATGGAAAACCATCCATTCTTCGGTCATCTACATGTGCATTGCGGTACATATGTTTCAGAATCTTCTCGCGTCTCGGAAATGAAGATCTATATGTGTTTTCTTAGTTCTCAGTCGAGAACTCTGTTAATGTCGCGTGTCGTGTCAATTACATAGGTCTGTTCTTTGTCGCTGAACTATAGTGTATACTTTCGGAACTTAAAAGGAAATAGATATCCAGTTCACATAATATTCTTAACATACCATGAAAATGTTCTTAGAATATTAAAAAAAGGATAAAATAAATAATATAGAAGATTACATATAAATAAATAAAAATATATACATATATATATATACACATATATATATAATTTTTTTAGTATAAAACGTATTTTTACACAAAATTACTTCGACTTTATTTATATAATAAAACAATTGGTATTGCAATATGTTTGTAATAAAAGAAACTGCAATTATATATATTACATATAGAGTTAAATATTAAAATTAATATAATATTACAGTAGCATTAATTAATATTACTAGAATATTATTAGAATATTACGTCTGATATCCTAAGAATATACCCAGAATATTACTTGATATTAAATAATATCACTTATAGGAAAGAGCAGACCATATGAGTGACTATCTTAACAATCGAAGAGGGCGAAATTTACAGTCGGAGACACGGAGATTTCCTCGGATTTCGGGGAAAACTCTCGCAAAATTCGCAGACGTCTGTACAGAAACGGTGACCATTGGTCCTTCTTCCCCGGAGGTGCGGGATATATCCTGCCCGGACCTGAAGAAACTTCCCCGATCGGTCGCGATTGTTCTGCACCGCCTGCGGCTGGGAAATCCAAGACGATTCCACCCCCCGAGAGATGACATATTTTTTTCATGAATTAAACGTCTCTCGCCCAGCGCCCAAGCATGACTTGCGCGTATTGAGTTCCCGTCGAAGTAAAACCCTGCGGGGCCTCCGCTCGCGTATGCGGAATCTGAGTCTGCGCCATGCTTTGCAGAGGCGTGTCCTGGCTTACACGCTCTTATTTAGTACATAGAGAAGCGGCTTTACTCGTCCACGGTCTTTCGCGGTAGAACGTGCGCGCACGCGAGAGAGAGTTTACTCCGAGGAAAGCGAAAAAGAGGAGGAGGAGGGAAGAAGTGAGGAGGTCGGTGCTGCGCGGGTCAAATTCGCGCAAAATCGAGAAGCGAGAGAAAAAGAGAGGACGGATAGGAAGAACACAACCTCTCGTCGGAAAATGTAACTGCTCCGAGGAGGGAAGAGGAAGAGGAGGACGGAAACGGAAAAGGGAAAGGGTGGAGGAGGTGAAGCGACGGCGGTGGTGACGGTGTCGGCGGCAGCGGTTACGACGGCGGTGGTGGCGGCGGTTTTCTAATCCGAATCCTGGGAGAAGGACGCCTTCGCTCGATCGTGCGTGTTCCCAGCGTGGACCAGGTCGATCGGGGAAGTTCATGGCGTGAGGCCGTCGTCATCCACGGATACTCGCCCGTTAATTCTTCTCCTCTTCGCAGCCCGTGTGACGCCCGCAGGCGGCGGCGGAAGTCAGGTAACGTAATTATAACTTCATTATATTTTTCGCGCGCGTCGTGATCTCGCGAATCGTAACGAATCTCTTTCTCTCTATCTCTCTCTCTCTCTCTCTCGTGGCCGCGAATAGCAGGCACATTTTGATTATCGACCCGTGTACAACGCGGGGTCGAGAGAGCGGCGTTGAGAGCCACGTCTGGAGAGACGCTCGCTTCGACCCCGAGACGACTCGCGCTGATCCCCTCGACATCTCCGGGGAGACCCGAAGTGGCGGTGATTCGCGACGATCCGCTGAATAAATGATGACAGGGAATTCCTCCGCCCCTGTTCGCCGTCACACACGCATTCGCGCGCATACGTATTATCGATAAACATTATCGCACCCTGCGATCGCAATTATATATCACACATATAGCACACCTGCGCTGCACGAGTCGCGCGCGGCCGGAAAGTGCCGCACTAATCCCGCGCCGAAAATACGCGCGGAAACGCATCACATACCAGCCGCTTTGTTACGTCTGGCGAATGCTATTCCGAGAGATGCACATGTCCCTCGCTCCCTCGGACAATTGCATGCGATAGTTCGCCATCGCCGCCGCATACGGCGATGACACACCGCCGAGCGAACCAGGCAAATCCGAGTCCTGGCTTGGCGATACACTCGCCCTTCTCTCTCTCTCTCTCTCCTCTCCGTCTATCCATCTACCTGTCTCTTTATCTATCTATCTCTTTCTCTCTCTTTCTTTCTCTTTGCTCGCTAAGCGGGAATACCATCGCCGCCTGTATCATCACATTAGCGTCTCTTTATTTATTTTCCCTTTTACCCCGCGTCTCGAGATATTTATAGGGATATGCGTCGTAATAACGTCACATCCGAGTTTTAATCTCGTTCACGCACACACACACACACACGCGTATGTACGCGCGGCGGATTATCGCGAGTTACAGCCGTCACTTAGCAGCCGTCCCGTTTACGCAGTTTATCATTGATCGAACGGACAATCGGCGCTACTTCCCCGACGTTATTCCGCGCACAGGGCAGAGTCGATGTTCGTGTCTGGCAACAGGTTACCGTTCTGCCACACGGGCGGAACGGGAGACGATACACGCGCCGTTTAGGATTTGCCGGCATTCGCTCCTTCGAGGTATGCCGTCGAAAGTGGAGGAGGAAGAGGCGGAGGTGGTGGAAGTGAAGGAGACCGAGAGGTCGTCGCAAGACCCGAGATCGCGATTAATACATACGTCGCACACGTCATAAGTCTTGTTTAACGGGTAAATATTCAACGACAGCTTTATTTTCGCATACGTGATTGAAGGATAGGCGCGTTCCTCAGCGTGGGGCGCACTCCCCGTCCTCTCTCTCTCTCTCTCTCTCTCAGCTCAGGTGCTAGCAGGTAGATGAAGAAGAAGCGCGCACTATCGGCTTCTCGCGCGCTCCTCCTCTCTCTCTCTCTCTCTGTCTATTGGCAGATGGCCTGTTTTTATGTCCAAGAAAAATAACACGGACGGGTTAAAAGCTCAGTCGATTTTCCGATGAGAGAGGCTGACGCTTCAGCGCTTTCTTTGTGCAAACGTAAACATAGTATCGGTCGATGACTGCGGAATAGATGTCACGCTACCCGCTAATCGTCTATAAAGATGTCGCGCGCGCGCGCGGAACTGTGATTCGCAAAGCTATATTTACGATTGGAGGATCTCTTATACACGATACGTCAGTCGATAGTCCTGTATCTGTTACACCCGACGTCGTTCCATCTCGGGGGAGAGCTCGGCGAAGAAGTCCGGTATTTCGCGGGAAACGCGATCGATTCTGCGGAGGACTCGACGACTCGCGATGACTCGTGCACCGCCCGATGAATTCTCTCTCTCTCGTGAGCGCGAACTTGGCGCGTGGCGACCTGACACGAAAGAGAGAGAGAGAGAGAGAGCGAATTGATGGTCCTCTCGGGACGAGTTCTCATCCGTCTTACCACGTCGTGGTCGCGTGAGTTTGCGCGTCGCCAGGAGTTTCCCCCGAGTGCGAAACAACGCATCTCCGACACGCGTGGTGTAATCAAAGGGGGGCGGCGATTCGGCCGCGTGCCAGATTCGAAATAACGAAACGTCCAAATGGCGGCATAATTTCGCAAAACGGCGAGCCACGTGGCGACAGAATGAACTCTCTTCCTCCCTCTCTACTTCTCTCTCTCTCTCTCTCGCGCGAATGCACAGCGCGAGAAGAAACAATCCGAGGGAGACGGAATCGTTACGGGAGAGGAGGCCGAAATGTAGAATTAACAAATCGACGCGATACTCTCTCGAATGTATTAACGAGCGGTAAACATCGAGTCAAGTACACAATTAAAACACTCAGCTCGGTAAGAGAGCGAACGAGGAAGAGCGTGTGGGAGAGAGGGTGCGAAAGAGAATTGGTCATGAACGAAGTTTCCACCCAGCTGTAGGGTAGAGTATAACTCGAGGAAATGCCTCCGGGGGTGGAGAGGGAGTTAGCCGGATAAAAATGTCGCTTTTGTACCGGTAACGAGGCTCGGTATACCGAGCTTTGTAATCGTCCGCGTAATCGTAGGGTTCGCAAGGGTGGCATGTAATCATATATTGCCGCATAAACGCGGCTCTCTCTCTCTCTCTCTCTCTCTTTCTCTGCTAAAACCCATGTAATTTTAAGCGATCGCGTTTCAGCAAAGAGGGAAATCAGTTTCGCGAGCGAAACGTGAATACAAGGAGCGCGAACGTGTGTGTCGGAAATTCCCGTGGAATTGTCGAATAGCACATGTCAACGATCGTCGCAACGACGCGAGGCTTTGCTTTTCTATTCTACCCGATGGAACGCTTTCTTTCCCGGAAATCTCTCATGCGCGATCGTCTCTTCCGCGAAAATACCTTTTGTGCTTCCTCCAATTGTCATTTCCAGCAGGTGCTTCGGAACGCTCTCTGCGTTCCAATCGTTTCGTTATCATTCCACCTTCCCCACCCCTCTCTTGCCCTTTTCTCGATCTCGTATATCTATATACGTGCAATTTATCATATTTATTTATATTTCTACAGCTACGTAATCGTCGCTCAGTATTCCGAGTTCGTATCGGAAATTAATTAGACGCGCTCTTTTCCATCCTTTCAATTCCCCTTCCTTTTCCTCGTCCTCCTCTCTTTTGAGAGAAAGAAAGAGAGAGAGAAAGAGAGAGAGAGAGAGAGAGAGAGAAAGGTTCTCTCGCGGGCGTTTCGATAGTTCGATTCGCCGTGTGACGAGAATAGCCGGAAAGTGCAGAAATTGCATTCGCAGCTTTTTCCACCCGACGCGCGCTTTCCTTCTCGTGTACATGCGTAGCGCCGTGTCCCTGTGTACGTGCAGTGCACCGGCTATCTGTCCTCGTGTACTTTGCGTTTGCGTTCTGTAAGGGGGATGGGGATGGTTTTATTGATCGTCGAGCAGGAAACGCTTTCGCGGCGCCGCGCATTGTGATCGTGAAATGAAGGGGGCATCCGCGGAGCCACCTTTGAGATTTTTCCCACCGCTTCGGCGGCACATCGATCGCCGATCGGGGATCGATATCGGCGCGCGATCAGCTGCGCCCCTAAATTGTTGCCGGTGTTACAGGCGCGCGATATTTTCCTTGCACGGACGGGGTTGCAAGATGGATCAAAGATATTCTCCGTGGGCTAAATATTCATGACGCGAAGAGCACACTTTCTCACAAAGCGACGTAAAATAAACGAGAGAGAAAGAGAGATAGAAAGGGAGCGAGAGGTAGATCGCTCGGCCGCTCGATAAAGGCCACTCTTCGACTACTTTTATCCCGACGCTGTCATCCCTCCCGCGCATTTCGGCGGTCCCTCCTCTTTTATTTCGCAGCCTTGCAAGTTGCAGACGAGGCGAAAGGGCGAGCACGGGCTGCATCGCCTGCCTGCGTCGCGCAAAGTGCTCGGTATTTAATTACCTCGCGACTTGCCCTTTAGAGAACGTACGCGGGGCGTCGGGTCGCCGAGGTGTCATGCGAGGGAGCAACGTGGGAGAGAAAGAAGAGAGGGGAAAAATATCACACATACGCATTACGCCATTTATCTCGCGTGCATTTTCGCACGTTTGTATCACCGCAGGGAGTGGCCTGGTATGCATATGCAAATGAGAGTGTTGGACGGGTGTCCGAGATATCGAGCCGATATATACTCGAGCGGGTATCCACAATATACCCACGGTCACAATGCGAGATTGATACGGCGCCGGTTGCCGATCGCTCCGAGTTCAATCCCCGCGGTATTTATGTATTCGACCCCCCGGAGTCGAATATCGCGACCCCGCGAATAAACACAGGAATCGCGTGCCCGCGATATTCACATCCAAGCCTGACGAAATGTTATACCGGTATCGATCGAGCTGTTTCCGATTATACATATACGTATCGCCAACTCGCTTCGCGCAAAGTTCTCAATCTCGTGGAAAAGTTTTCGGCCTCTTGTGTCAGTTTCGCGCGCGCGTGTGTGTGCGCGCGGACGTGATCACGAAACTTGGTAAAGTGAAACGACCTGGGGTCGGGTCGCGCGACGCTTTTCAGCTGTAACACGTGGAACGAACGTGTAACTTGGTGAAATTGCTTTTTTTCTTTATCGACTCATCGAATGATTTGTTGTGTTTCGTTTTATCGTATGAGTTATGTATATTAATCTATAGCTATGTACGACGACGCGGGGGTGAGATCCGTTCCGTCGGCCTCCGCAGTGAGAGGAAAGGCAATTTCCGTCGGTTTCCTGAAAGCGAAGATGAAAGATGGAGCATCGGAGCGAAGGGGAGGGAGGGAGAGAAAGAGAGAGAAAGCGAAAAAAAAAAAGACGAAGAAAGAGTGGCGGAGGAGTGCGGCCGTATCAAACACTATGTGAGACGAAACAGATATAAGACCGTTCGCTGCGTCGCATTACGTATTATCGACGACTTTGCGATTACGTTTATACAGTGCGACTGTGCGTTCCCCGGACCGAACGAGGGAACGAAGGGCGAAGGGACATCGATCACGCGAATGAAGATCC